TCAAGGAGAAATGTTGATTGTTGGTGAAGGAATGATTGCTGATATTGAAGTAAGCCTTTGGAAGTTTAAATAAAGAATTGGTATGAATTTGGTTGAATCGCATGAGAGAGTACGTTACACTCAAACAAATTCTTTTCGAGTTGGTCGATGTTCCGCTGAGTTTACTCTTTATAGTAAATAGTAATAGATCATTTGTAGACGGAACTAATGGTACAAAAAAAAAAAAAGAGGTCGTGAGGTCATTTGATACAAAAAACTGATGTAAACAATAATTGTTTGATCATTTGAAAGATGAAGCTAATGGTAATCTATGAGGTCAGAGGACATTAATCATTAGCGGTACTTTTTAAAATAGTATCTCAGAGGAATAGTCAAATTATATCTCGTATATAAGAAACTACGTGACAAACTACAATAAATTTGACAATATTTTTGGGACAGTAAATATGCATACTCCATCATTTGACTGCGAATTTCTGCAACATAAATTAAACAGAATATATAGGTCAATATATGGGTCAGTACCGGCCAACATTTTACGAGACACGAGACAGGGAGAACTTCCTTCCACAGAAAGAAAAATTTCTCAAAGTATGACTGTGTGTAATTCCAGCTAATTCTTGATATTCCCGTAAATTAATCATTGCGAATGCAAATCAATGAATGCCGAAAAGTAAGTGCTGCAACTTATGAAGCCTCTGCTTAACATCCAAGAAGTTTTACTTAAAAGTAAAATTATTACTTCAGATTACTAGTAGCTATATTGCAGTGAAGCACAAAGCTGTCGTGAACAGTTTGTTGTTTCACAGACAATTAATTATTGTTCGTGGAAGATTAACGGTAATATTACAGTTATAGTTAATAGAGAAAGATTTCTTCTTGATTGTTGATGATTGAAATAATCGTTTGGAAGTTTGAATAAGGAACTGTTAAGGATTTGCATGGGTCACAGTTCAGGAGAAGATGTTTGATGAGACCGCTTCGTTTCGGTGCAGCAACATACACTACATTATCCCTCGATAGGCGGGGTAAGCAATTGATGATACCTAAAAAAAAGGAGCTGCATAGAGTCGTGTGAACAAGGGAGGTCATGCTGAGACTATTGCAACAGGAAAGACGGAGTCAAGGAAATAGTAAATCAGCCAAACATACAAAATAGGTAAAGCCAATGATCCCTCATGCTTTGAAGGAAAAAAAGGGCAAAAGGGACTTATTTTAACTTTTATTTAGAGTAAGTATTCCTTAAAAAACAAGACATGTCCTGTCATTTGATTGAGAATTATTGATACAAAGAATTTTTATAACATGGATTTCAAAATAGAAAGATACTTTATTTCAGTTTTCAACATAAGCAGATTACATGGAAAAGGAGGAGATTATTTAGGAAAACCTTATAACTGAACTTTAAATACCTTATTGGAAATCGGATCTCCGGGAATTTAAATTGGAATTTCAAGTAAAAAGTTATTTCAATTCTGAATTTTGATAAATGTCTTAAAAGGGTACGACGATAGGATGTATTTGAATAAATATTAATTTTTTACAAGGAAAATATGATATTCCCCGAAAATATGCTTTATCTTAGAAAGAATAATTAATATCTGATTTTTGGTAAAATCTTTAAAAATTCTCACGCTTGATTGAAATGTAGAAGACGAAAGTTTACTTGAAAATTTGTGTGTCATTCTATCATACGGTTACATTTTCATTCTTGATTGGTTTAAATTCATTAATTTGTTGCTTAACAAAACTTCAAATATATGTTAAATAATAATTGATTTAATTTTAACCAGAATTAAACTAGAGTGCAAAGATGAAATATTATGCTTGTGGTTTTTATATTGACTCATTATCAAAATAATTTATTATATTTTAAGAATTCATAAATTCATTTCGATGTTACATTTATCTAAAATATTTTACGGAATGCAATCGGATATTTCACTTGCAGGGAGCATTGTAAATTTCAATTGCGGAACATTCTTCTACACCGATAATTTATAATTAATTAATGATCAATAATGATATAAATTATCAAATTAATGATAATATAAATTTATTGAAATAAATTAATTCTAAATTGACAGTAAAGAAAGATTTGTTAATTATTTGTCCAAGCAAATTATTATGCTGCTTCTTCAATAATTGTTTCATATAAACACTTACATACATTACGTGCATAAAAAAAAAAGACGTGCATATATTCACATACGTATAAGTATAGTGATTAATACTTTTACTATGAAATTTCTCCCGCTCTTATGCCTGAAATATTTAATGAATTCTGATATGAAATTAATTCTGTTATAGAATTTTACGGGATTATATAAATAGTGCGAGTGTTAAACTAATTTTCATTTATTTTCTATCATCTTTTACTGACTGGTAGGAACGACGTGAGTTGCGTTTGTTCATTTAAAACATATTGCTAATTTCAGTTAATATTCTCAAACAAATTAAAAACATTACTCGAATTTTTTTTTCTTTTTAAAGCTTATTTTTTCAATTTTACCACGAAATTCATTTATGTATGTAAAAGATCTTCAACACAATAATTTTAATTAAAATAATCGTAATTATAAGGAAATTATTGACTATAGTTTTACTAACAATTTTGAAGAGATAGCTTTCGAAATTCATTATTTCATGAATAATATTGATTTTTGAATCTTATCGTTCTAATCTTATCGTTGGAAAGATCAGAAACTAAATGTAGTCAAGATTAGAGAGAATATCATCCATTTCAAAAGTTTTAAGTAATTCAGGAAGAAATTTATATGTAATTATTTGTTTAAATTAATAGTAACCTAATGAACTAGCTAAATTAATAGATTTAAATGTTTTTTTTTTGTGAATTAAAATTAATACTTCATGCATACATTTAATATAAAGAATAACAGACGAGTTAAGAATAATGATCAAGACAATCATGATCATTTATTAATCTTTTTGTCAATATTGTATTCATTGTTTCAGTTATTGCCCAAAATGTCAACTTCCAAATCAAGCGGTAAACTTTTTACATCTTATAAATTTGGAAATTTCAAAGAAATTTATATAAATTGTTGTTAAGTTTTCTAAAATTTCAACAATTCACCATGCTTCAGTTGATAGATAACTTTACTAATTTTCAATTATTTTGAAATAAAATGCTTATAATTTAATAAAAGAGGATGTTTGTAAAAAAAGAAAGGAAGAAAATTCATTCTCCTCTAATTATAATAATGGACCAAGTTTTAACGGAAGAAAAAATTTTTAAGAAAGCAGAGAAAAAATTTTACGAAGATTTTGTTGTAGAAGATAAATATTTCAGATATTATCACACGTAAATCAAGAACAAAAAGAAGATACAGATATGTAAATAGGAAAGTATGTTAGTTTTTTTTTTTGAAAATTTTTCTTTGCATATACATGCATTAAATATTGGATTTTCATTGGACATTTATCAAACTACGGTATATTTAATGATAAAATTAAATTAAGCATGATAAAGTTGTGGATATCTACAATCCATATTACAATTACTTCAAAGAACGCTATGTATGTCATTTTTTTTGCTTCAAAAAATAAAAAGAAAGAAGAAAAATGAGCAATAAAATAGGCAATGAATGAAATCAATTGAATAGAATTTGAACCAAAAAAAAATGCAAAAATATAATTGGTAAAATTAAAATTCGAAGAGTTTTGTTTTAATTTTTAAACAATAAACGATATAAAATAAACAATGACGACAATATGCAGTAGCATATTTGATTGAAAATGTACCGAAACAAAAATTTTCGCTTTTATTTCAGAAAATTCATTTAGCACGAAGAAATAAAAACATAAAAGGTAGTGAAATTTCAATTATTTAATCTTTAATAAACTTAATTTAAGTTCATTGCAGTAGAATAAATAATATATTTATTTCATCATCAATATCTTTAAATATTCCATCATAATTCTAAAGAGAATTCGGAAAAAGACTTCCAATAGCCTATTAAGAGCCTTTATCATTTATGTGGACATTTGTCTTTCATTTCAGAAACGGAAACTCTACCACCCGAACAGCCAAAGGTGTTGCTTAGTGAAAGCATAAATGAGTGTACAGAAAAGGTAGAAGATCTTCTTGTTTTTTTTTCCTGAAATATTTTCATTTTTTTTTTTTCACCGCAAAATATTTCTTTAAATCAATGTATAATAGCATTTTTTTTATTAAGAGAGTTATATTTCAGGCATTGCCTAAAAAGTAAGCTTCAATTCGAATAATTTTCCAATAAACAGTAAATGTGGAAATTAATGTGTTATAAACGGATAGCTTTTCTTATTGCTCAAACAATTCAATAAATTCAGACAAATTTAATTCAATAAATTCAGGAAAGAAAATTTTTTGTGAAATACTAATTTTCTAAAATACTTCGTTTGTGGCATTTAGAAAGCAGGCTTACTTATTACTTCTAATTAATTCATAAATCTCCCATGATTTGGTGCAATTTTAAAACTTGAAATAATTAAAAGTTGGGCTAATAGTACTTTTATAGAAAATCTTCAAGGAGAAAAGAAAGTACTATTAACAAGGAGAAAAAGAAAGAAACGAAGGAAAAAACGGATGAAAAAAGCAAGCAAAAAACTAGGAAGAAAAGTAAAACTGAATCAAAGTTAAAATTTATGCGCGGTAATTTCTCCCGTTTTTTATTAGATGTTTTAATTAAGCAAAAATCACGGAAGACATATACATCATAATATTAATATGTAAAATTAAACAACACTAATTAGAAATTATTAGATAATAAAATGAATTGTCAAAATTTCATGATTATTTAGAGAAATCTGATAAACACTCGACATCAATCAATGCTCGAAAAATGATATCAATAAAGGGGAAGAAAGAGAAAAATGAAAATTATGAAGGCATATTTTAACTGTTTATTTATTTATTTATGTTTATTTATTCACTAATTACTTCATATAAATTTGATGATCACTTAGCGTGTAAACAATTGTCGGTGGCAACAGCGCGAATGGTATCACCTGTAGAGGAAGATAAGGAAAGAAGGATGATTGCGATGACGGATGAATATAATAAAGACTATGAAAGTATATGTTTACTTGTTTGTTTGTTTATCCATATTTATCTGTCTACTAATTATTGGATACAAATTTGATAACCATTTAGCATCTGAAGAATCGTCAGTGTCCACTGCGGGATTAGCATCACCTAAAAAGGAGAAGGAAAAAAGGATTATGGACGAACGCAAGAAAGACTATGAAAGTATATGTTTACTTGTTTGTTTGTTTATCCATATTTATCTGTCTACTAATTATTGGATACAAATTTGATAACCATTTAGCATCTGAAGAATCGTCAGTGTCCACTGCG